TATTTGATTTAATTTTTTATAAATAGCAATTGTTTTTTTATTATTTGGAATTTGTCTGGGTTTTGCCAGCAAGTATAGTTATATTACCTCAGATAAACATGTTATAATAAAATTAAGAATTTCATTTAAATTGATTTATATCATTATAAATTGATATAAATCAATTTAAATAAAATTCTTAATCATTTTTTAAATCATTTCTTTATGTTATATACTTATATTTTCTTATTTAATTTTTAATCGATATCACTTTATTTCAATCATTCTTTTATTTTTCCTTTCTTTTTTCAGTTTTTTTTTTCTTATTTTCTTTATCAATATTTCTTTTTCTTATCCATCTTCTTCTTTTTATTTTTATTTTTTTATTTTTTTTTTCAAAATGCATTGGAAATATAAGCATTGTAATCAAGAATTTTCAAAAGCTTTCGCATTAATACAACATGTTTTGCAAAAACATCCTTACCTTTATAGTTCCTTGAACCAAGAAATCTTCAATAAACAAGTGGATGATAATATTTGGGATTTTTCAGAAGGCTATCCTAATTATGATTCTTCAGAATATGAGATAAATAGTCAATATAATATTAATATAGGCTTAATGCTAAGAAAAGGAATGAATTTGACAAAAAAAAAATTCTTTGACAAAAAATTAATTTTTTATCGAAGAATTTTTTTTTTTGTCAAATTTGTCCTTTTCTCAGCATTATAATAAAATATTAAAAATCAATTATATTTTATTTAGAGTGAAAATATGGCATTATCTAAAAGCTCAGACGAGCATGTACATTCTTTGATGAAAACAGAACCTGCTCAAATAGATAATATACTTCTTTTTGTGAAAGATGTTGCATCTCAAAATTCTTCTAATGAAAGTGATCTTGAAGAGCAAGTAGATGTGTCATTTGAAACTTAGTCTTATGAAATTGATTCCGAAGACTACAAAGAGGCTTCGTTTAATGATGCTTTTGATAACTTGTATTATCTGCAAAGTGTTAAATAGCCTAATGATGCTTATTGTGAATTTATTGAGATAGTTAATAAGCATCGACTTTCAAATTCTGGTGATGCTATTATAAACTTTTTCAACAAATTCTCCAATTTGGATACTTTGCCGCTTTTCCTATCAACAAAGGCCAGAAAGAAATTCCTTGATGACTCTACTCTTCCATATATGATGTTTAAAAAAGTTTCTATAATAATGTTTAAAAATGTTGATTATCTTTTTTATTATCGATTATTAATAAAGATTATAAAGTCTTTATTAATAATCGATAGTATTAGTCAGTCACTGGTTCTATAATATAAAGACAAAAGAGAAATAAAAAATAATGTAGAGTGTAAAATCTTTGGAGAACAATACCAAAGTAATTGGTAAAAGCGAGAAAAATTAGTATTACTCTTTGGGCAACATTTATTGTTACTTATCTTTTATTTAGATGTGACAATCTTGGACCATATGAGAAAATCTTCTGGGCATCCTTTGTTTACATCACTTGAAAACATTCCTAACCATCAAAGGAATAAACCAGAATCTAAAGTATTAGTTAGATACCTTTCAATTTTGAAAGCCAAGGATTCTAAGACCAAAAATTCAGATGCTTTCTGAACGTTACAAAGAAAAATCTTCTAAAAATGCATGACAATTCTTCTCAAGCCTATTAGTAAAAAACCAGAGCTTTACTTTGCTATACATAAAAATATAATCACCTTTATTCCATGTATATTGATAATTATTGCAGATATAGTCGAAGCTGATAAGTTTGCAAATGTTTACCAACCATCTTTCTCAAGATGACTATGTAAAAAGTGCTTGGTATTAAGAAATAACTTGAATAATACTAATTTAATAGATTCAAATATAATTTCAAAAACCCCAAAAGATATGAAACAAGTGATAGATAATGGAGATAATCAGTATTATTCAATTCATTCTGAAAAAAATGCATTTTGGGACATAAGATATGAGATTATTATCATGTAAGTGCCCAAGAAAAAGAGTGCCTCCATTTTTTAATAAATTGTTGAATAAACAATTTATTAAAAAATAGAGATACTCTTTTTCCTTGGCAGCACTTATATTATTGTACTAAAAATATATATTATTATATATAATAAAAATTTTAGAGGCTTTAATATATATGAGGCCATCATACCTGATCGAATGCATGTCTTGGATCTTGGTCTCTTTAAGTATATATTAGACTATACAAAGAACTTTTAAATGATCAATGCGAAAGACATGTATTTTAAACCTTTGAATAGTGATTAATATCGATTCCTCAATATCATGGTTTTAAATTAATAAAGAATGTATCTGATATTAACACACGACGGCTGACGAACTGCAAAATTTAATGAAAATAATAATTTTCGTATTTGATAACCTATGAGGATTATAAGAAGCCAGGAATAAGTAATAAACAATTATGTCAAGTTTATTACAAATTTTTTAGAATATATATAGCCATCTATAAGGAATCATTTACTTATGATTCATGTGATCAGCTTTAGGTATAAAACAAATAATTAGTTGGTATTTTTTTTTTAAAACCCATGATTTAGTATAGGACATCATAGAGACATTCTTATAATTAACTTTTAAAATACCTAGTTACTAATGTTTAATCTCACAAACCTATATTTTGGATTGAGCCAAAGAATTCATTAAAATATTTTCTAAATATTCTAAAAATGATCTTCAGCTTTTCAAACTTCAAACTTGGTGCTATCACATAGTACCTGCAATTAAAGAATATGGAACTATTAATAGTATGACTACAGAGACTTACGAAACCTTTCATAAGGATTACATAAAAATTCTTTATTATATGTACAATAAAAAAGACTATATAAAACAAATAATTAAGACTATAAGTTTTTAATTATAATAATAACTGCTATCAATTGTTATTAATCATTATAAATCACTAATAATCATTGTTAATAGATTAAACAGTAGAAACTAACTGAAAAAAGTGCCCAAAGAAAATATTGTAAAGCAAAAGGGTTTGGAAAATCTTTGTGGTTATTAAATTTAAAGGAGCTAGATAATTTCCTTGAGAATAATAAAAATAATATGGACCTATTACAAATTGAAGGTTTTTAAAATTTACTAACTAGTCTCGACGAATTTTTTGAAGAAGAATTATTAATATCTCTTAATAATAATCATATAGAGATGTTTTCTTCTGCTTCTTTAGAAAGTACTAATATAATTTGGGCTATATCAAGTTTTCATAGTAGCCCAATGTTTTTGAACATTACTATTAATGGCAGTAACGAAAAAGAAGAAATAATTTGATATGGATTGGTAAGTATTGATATATTTATAAAATTATTCTATTAATTTATATCTAACAAAAAAAAGCAATAATAGCAGATTAATAATGTTTATAAGTATAATAATGCTCAAAGTTAGGAATATTTTATTTTTATCTAACTTCGAGAGTAATAAACTAATATGAATATTTTATCAAGGTGCTATTAATACTCAAGTTTTATCAAGCAAATAATCAATTGCTTGAGTTCGCTTTAGTTTGTTGGTATGAGGAAGTTGATGAATTATGGGGATGTCCAAAATTAAAACTGCTTAAACACTATACTTGTATACTGTTAGAGAGTATAAATAGAACTATGCATATAGTCATGAGATTTAAAAAAGAAATGAATATCTAGCAAATGCTTTTATGTTTTGATTTATAGTTAAAGTGTATATATATTAAAAGTGTATATTTAAAGTGTATATTTTTAAGTGTCTAATTAATTTTAAAGTTATATTAAATATTTCTAATTACGTATATCAATTAAATAATTTTGTTGTTAATCGATTATTCACAAAAAGTAACAATTAAATTAATTCGTTGATAATCGATATCTATCAATATCGAAGTCTATCTAATAATTAAATTTTATCGATTTTTGTTATATATTGAGTAATAACAGGTTAATCGATATATATCATTAATTTTCAAATGATGTGTAATGATTAATAGCTATGTATCGATAAATATCTATTACTAAAATTTCCCGATATAATACAATATTATAATAATATTATATTTATAATATTTTTAAAGAGTAATTTATATTTTTGCAATCTTGATATGATCTTAATACAATCTTGATTAAATATTGAAATATATTTTTTTCAATAAAATCTTGTTACTATACCATTATAATTATATAGTAAGGTTGTGCCAATATATTTACAATATTTAAAAAAAATATAAGGTTTCTGCAATGTATAAAGTTTTGATAAGTTAGGGCAAAAAAAACAATATTTATAGACAAAAAGATTTTGATTTAAATAGCAAACTCATGGTTCATTTTTTACTATTTAAATTTTTTTCACATAATAAACTACCTTAATGATCTTAATAACAAGTTCAATTGATTAATTAATTTACTTTTCACTAATTAAAATTTAATTTCTAACATATTTTTAACATACTTTGATCCATTAATTAAGATGCTTGAAAATGCTCTAAGTAAGTTACTATTTTAATAAGCAAATCACAAAACACAATCATCTTTTTTCTTCAAAAATTTACTATTGATAAAGGTTTCTTAAGCATTACTTTTACATTTTTTATATATCAAATATAATAAACAATTAATTCTTAACAAATTTCTAACTGGTCTAAAAGGTAGTCACTTTATTTTTAATATTAAAATAAATAATCAATAACTGATATGAATAATAGATATGATCCATTCTTTAACTTTTAATAAACTATAATGAATACTGTTATTCCATTTTTCACTCATTAAATTTAAAATTTTCTCAGTAAAGAAGACCTAAAACTGAAAGGTTTGGGTAGATGTTTTTCTATATTTGATGGATTTTAAAGAAATTTAAATTGTTAAAATCATTAAAAGGAGAAGCCAATGTAACTAAAGTTGAAACTCTAACGGTTGATCGAAAAGAAATTTTTTTTCATTAGGTTTTTTAGGTAGTAATCCTATAAATATCGGCATCAATTGTAATGCTTGAGCGTTATCATGGTTATTATCTGATCAATTGATTTAGATGCTTGAAAACAGCCTAAGTCAGTTAATTTTTAAAGCGCTATTTTTGTTACGATTGTGCTTGCTAAATCACTAAAACCACCCAATAATTGCCCATCACTAGAGTTCCAATCCAGATAAATCCGTCATCAGTTTATCCGTGTCGAATAAATTCAGATATCTGATAGTTTTCCGGATAAATGCTTAATGGGATTGGAACTCTATCCATCACAAATATAAAATTTTAGTACTTTTTATGAATAAATATAAATAACTTGTTTAAAATAAAATTTCTCAAAATACTCTGTTAGATTTCAATTCTGTAGTATTATCTCTAATAGTATACTAAGGCTGATAGTTTTGCAAATTCATATTAAAATTTCGGGGGGGGGGGGGTTATTAACAGGAATTTTGCCATTATCGACCTAGCATTCTGTCAGTTTTAGTATACTGCTAGAGACAATACTATAAATTCAAAATATAATATAAATTTATGAGAATCTCAAAAGTCTTTAATTTAGACAAGCTGATGTGCCAAACTTTAAACATTTTTATGGTGGGCAGGCGATCACAGTAATTTATAACATGACACATTCATAAATAATTGTTATTTTTTAATTTTTATTTTATTAAAGATAATTTAAGTGATAATTTAGTATGAGTATAAAGGCATTTTATTAATTTAAATATTCAAAATAAGCATTCAAACTTATTAGTATTTATTATTTAATTCATTTTATTCACAATGATTGACGGGTAAGTATAAAGAGCATTTACTAATTTTCAAAATAAGTAATTCAAGTTTATGAATACTTAATATTGAAATTCATTTTATTCACAATAATTAGCACATGAAAAAGAATTTATTATTTTAAGTATTTAAAAAATATACGTACATTTCAATTT